AACAGATCCACACTGAGGCACATTATAATGAAAATGCCTGGCATACAGAATAAGGATAGAATTTTAAAAGCCGCAGGAGAAAAATTTCAGATTACATATACGGGGGAAACCAATTTGGATCTCAGCAGATTTCTCAATCCAGACCCTGGAACAACATATATCAAGCTCTGAAAGGTAATGAATACGAATCCAGAATCTTATATCCAGCAAAATTAAGCTTCAGATTTGATGATGAAATAAAAACCTTCCATGATAAACAAAAGTTGAAAGAATTCATAATGAGAAAGCCTGAACTGCAGAACATTCTCAGTAAAATATTCTGTAAAGAGGAAATAAAAAACAACAATAAAAATCAGCAAAGAGAGAAACTACACTAAACGAAAAGACAATCAAAGGAGAAACCAAGTCAAGTTAAAAAACCAAAATGACTGGAAATAATAGCCATATTTTAAGAACCTGGCATATTAATGGCCCAAACACATTAATAAAAAGACACAGAAGGGCATATTGGAATAACAAAGATCCAACATATGCTGCCTTCAAGAAACTCATCTCATAGGAAAAGACATCCACAGACTGAAGGTAAAAGGATAGGAAAAACCCTACAACTCACATGGACTGTGTAAACAAGCAGCGGTTTACAACCTCATATCAGATAAAGTGGACTTCAAAGCCAATTTGTCAGAAGGGATAAAGAAGGACATTTCATACTGCTTAAGGGAATCATATATCAATAACACATAACAATTGTAAATATTTATGCCCCAAACAATGAAGCACCTACATATATGAAACAAAAACTTCTCAATTTCAAGAATTAAAAAGAACACAACACAATAATACTGGTGACCTTAACACACCTCTCTAACCATTGGATAGATTTTACAAACAAAGAAACTATAGAACTAAATAATACAATCAATAATTTAGACGTAACAGACATATATAGAAATATTTCATCCTTGAACAAGTGAATACACTTTTTTTCTCAGCAGCACATGGGTCCTTCTCCAAAACAGACCAAATGTTATGCCACAAAGCAAGTCTTAACAAATACAAAACCACGGAGATACTACCCTGCATTCTATCCGATCTTAACAGAATAAAATTAGAAATCAATGATAAAATAAAAAATAGAAGCTATTCCAACAGCAGGAGACACTATGAAAGCACTATGAAGGCAGCTAAGAGGAAGTTCACTGCATTAAGCTCATTCATTAAAACAATTGAAAGTAAATGAATAAATGATCTGACATTATATCTCAAAGCCCTGGAAAAAGAAGAACAAATCAACAATAAAGTCATTAGAAGACAGGAAATAATCAAAATCAGAGATGAAAGCAAAGAAATTGAAACAAAAGAAACAATCCAAAAAATTGACAAAATAAAAAGGTGGTTCTTTGAAAAAATAAATAAAATTGATAATTTAGCCACTCTAATGGAAAGGAGAGAGAAAACTCAAATTACTAAAATTCATGATAAAAAAGGAAATATCATAACAGACACTATTGAAACACAGAATATAATTAGAAAATATTTTGAAAATTTATACACCAGTAAAATAGAAAATCTCAAAGACATTGACAAATTTCTATAGATATATGATCTACCCAATCTGAATCAGGAAGATATACACAATTTAAACAGATCAATTTCAAGCAATGAAATAGAAGATACCATCCAAAGCCTATCAACCAAGGAAAGTCCAGGACCAGATGGATTCTCAGCCAAATTCTATAAGACCTTTAAAGAAGAATTAATACCAATACTCCTCAAATTATTCCATGAAGTAGAAAAAGAGGGAACCCTTCCAAATTCATTCTATGAGGCTAGTATCACCATGATGCCAACACTGGACAAAGCACACATTAAGGAAGGAAACTTCAGAACAATATCCCTGATGAAAACATATAGAAAAATTCTCAATTCTGAGAAATCACATACAAAAACATATTTAAAAAAAACCAACTCAGGATGATCAAGTGGGGTTAATTCCAGGGATGCAAAATTGGATCTACATATGGAAATCAATAAAATTAATTCATCAAATCAGCAGACTTAGATAAGAATCATGTGATCATCTCAATAGATGCAGAAAAAGCATTTGACAAAATACAGTACCCATTCATGTTCAAAACACCAGGAAAAGTAGGGATAGTAGAAACATACCTCTACATTGTGCTAAGCCCAAGGCCAACATCATTCTAGGTGGAGAAAAATTGGAAACATTCCTTCCAAAAACTGGACCACAACAGGGACATCCTCTTTTACTGTATCTATTTAACATAGTCCTTGAAACTCTAGCCAGAGCAATCAGATAGACAGAAGAAATTAAAGGAATATGAATAGAAAAGAAAAGCTCAAACTATCATTATTTGCTGACGACATGGTTCTATATTCAGAGGATCCAAAAAATTCCACCAGAAAACATATAGAATAAATGCATTCTATATAAAAATTCTATATAAAAATCAATACACATAAATCAAATGCATTTCTTTTTTTAATACTTTTTAGTTGTAGAGAGAGAATATGGCAGCAGGTGCGGAGGGAACACTCCCATGACCTCCTCAGCTATGCTGGCAGAGAGAGACTTCAGAACAACTGGATGCTGTCTGTTCAGGAATGTCCAGCAAAGTTGGGCTGAGATGAAACCTAAGCGAGGAGTTTGAGCTTCTCAGAGGCCACAGTGAGCTCGGGCGCAGGTGAATCCAGGCCACCCCGCACGCGGAGATACTGGCTGGTTGATTGGCAAACTGCCACTTACGCGCCTCGACTCAGCGCTACAGAGAGTCGTAGAGAAACAAAACTTCAGGTCTTTTGAGGATCTTTTAAGGAGGTGCCAACCGAGCCTCCACGGGCAAGTGGACAGAGATCTGAGGTAGGGATTTAGGAAAGACAGACCAGACCCACCCTTCCCACCAGACACCCGGCAAGGAGACCAGTGTCCACCATAGCAGAGAACTGACGTCATCAGAGTTTGGCGGATGGGATCGCTCTGCAGTGAAATCAACGACCACAGGTATGTGACCCTCAGCCCTCCCTCTCCATACAGCTGGGAAAGTTCAAAAATCTCTTCCCAGCTCTCCGTGAGTGTAATTATAGGAGGCGAGGGAATCAGGAGGGGCACCTGACCTCCAACTCCCTCTCCCACCAGTGGTGACAGCCCACTCCTTTTTCGCTAGCTCCTGGGGGGTGTGGCTACTGGAGGGAATCAAGCAAAACAAGCTGACAGCCCCCAGCCCCCTCACTCCACAACCTTGGGGACTGGGTGAATGGCAAACAGAGAGAGCGTCCAGTGGTTCAAGAGAACAGGGTACCCAGGGGGATGCAGGCCCGGAGTGTAACTAGTTCTGTGGAGAACGGCACCGCTGAGTGGGGCCCTGGATGGCAGGAGAAGCTGGGGTAGGGGGAGCATTGGAGACAAGGAACGGCCCTGGGCTACCAGGATTGGTGAGCTGCCCAGTTGGGGAAGAGGAGCCACCTTATAGGGATTGTTTCTGGCGTATTGAGGGCAGAAGCTTGGCCGGGAGGGCAAAGCTCCATCTACTGGAAGAGAAGAAAACAGAACTCTAAGACTACATTTATCCTTTTTTTTTCTCTTTTCTTTTAAATTTTTCCCTTTTCTTTTATTTATCTATATTTCTTTCAATCTTTCTCTTTAGTGACTTCTTCCTTCCCCTTCCCCTATCTTTCCTCCCAAGCATTACGACTTCTATTACGTGTAATGTATTAAGTGCATATAAGTGAATGTTCCAAGGCG